CTACAATACTTTACACTATTGTGTAGATACTCGATTACCTGAGTTAATAGGGAGGGTGTAATCAAAAATACGGTTAATCGAATATAGTATAAAAACAGACGACAATCCCATTAAAACGCTGTAAACAGCCATTAACGTTACGATTTGCATTTTTATAAACGAAATTCAATATTGCACAATCATTATTATTGTGCAATAATGATATTTCAAATTATATATCTTGGTTCAGTTGTACAAACGGCAACGTTTAAAATTATAGCTCACTCAAACTCAACTAATAACTAGCCAAACACTGTTTGCACTGCTATAAATAACGTAAAATATTAAAGATTAGAAAGCGTTATAAGCTACTGCTCATGATAGGCAGATGGGCTACCGGTAGGTGTTGTATCACAACATAGGAATTAATAGATAAGTAATAAAAAAGTGTAAAATTATATTTAGAGATAATAAAAATACTCTTAAAAAAGGATGTAACGAGAACAATCTTGTTTTTATTTTTCTTTGTTCTTCTGTTCTTTATTAGGTTTCTCTTCAATTCATACACAAATTCAACAAGTCGCCATATTTAGGCCTATCATTGCCCAATCACAGCCTTACTAAAGTTACCATGGTTACTAATCACTCAATCACAGTTTACTAAGCATTATATCGTCATCATTCCCCAGCTGTTGTATCTGATACCTGTTGTAACATAGCGCAACGCAGACAGAAGTTTAAAACGGAGCAGACGATTGGCACAAGCGTTGTTTCCATTTCATTTTCATCAAAGGAGCTGTGATGTTTCCAAAGGGATGGAGAGGGGGTCGTTATATCAAGACGCTGACAATTCGATAAGCAGAGGTTAATAACGCTATATAGATATTCTGGCAATAAAAAATTCCTTAAATTGAGGTGACTTTTAAAGCTCTAATTTTATATAGAAAGATGAGTTTTCCAGTCCTACAACACTGATTCACGGACTTTTCCCGGTGATCAAAATTCAAGTACAACTTGATACACACAGAATCTCCGGTTCCGGACCTGGATGATGGCTAGTTATTTAATTTAATGTTACATATTAGTACCCGTGATAAATCAAACCCGATATGTAAGCCAAAGCCACACGGTTATTAATCTCACTTGTTTTTGGGTTTGCTTACAAACGTGATCGGAAATGGTTACAAACGTGATCGAAAATAGTTAGGGCCTACACAGTATTCGTAAACAACATTTATGTAAGCATATCGGTGACAGCTAGAAAAATGAATCTTTATCAAAACAGCTGTTCGTAATTTCATATATGACGTGTTCTCTTATCAGGTTATTAGTATTTCATAAATGACGTATGTAGTAAACATAGAGAAAAAAAACTTGGAAAATCACACAAAATTGGGTTTTTGATCGTCCGTTATTTTATTTCCAAAATAGTGAGGCCATATTTTAATGGCTAAGGACACTCTCGCCAATCCTGTGAATACAACTCTAAACCATTACAATCATAATCGGTACTCTAGTTTTCTTTAGAGTAGGCTACGTAAAATAACTTCTGGGCTGAGACAGACAGACATAAATTGGGATAAGACATGTTTCAACTTCTTCAATGTATAAAACGTAAAAATAACCCAAAATATGTATAATTCTGAGCAATCTACAGACAAAACTATAACTTTATTTATATAGATTAACTAGGTTTGAATTTTCAATGTCTAAAAAAAATTTATAAAACTTCTTTTAGTTTTACAAATAATGCTGGGTGGGGGAATAATGTTTCTCATTTGTTGTGTACCTACCTCATTTATGGTGGGGGGGGGGCTGTTGCTCAATAGGGGGGGGGGTGCGTCATGAGTCTAGGGGGGGATGGGCACCCCTGTGATACTGTACAAAGCCTTAAGCTGTAGCTCCATCTATAAAGTAGGGGGGAAATATGAGTCTTATGGTTGAAAAACTCTCTTTGTATTATATTAGCATGAAAAGCGTAACAACCAAACAAAACGGTGGTGTGTAATGTGCTCGTTGTGTGTAAATCACACAAGATGAAACAATATTTGCAATTTTGAGACTTGTGTAGCTATTTTTGACAAAAACGGACAACTTACAGAGCTAAACTACAGACCAGTGGCTAAACGTACTGGTTTTAGTGGTTTTTAAAGTGTTTTGGATAAGGCTTATTAGTTCAGTTTGGTTTCCCAAATCCCTAAATAAATCTGTACCAGCCCAAGGCACATCCACCCTGAATGTAAATGTAATATACAGTATACAGACACAGTATACACTTTAACGCCATAACGGTACGAATTAATTAGTTGTTATGGTTGCACCTGCAAACACCGTGATGCCGTATAGGTCCACGCATTACATGGCGGTTTAGAGTCAGAGCGCGTGAGGAACATTGAAGGCGGAAAATAGTGAGATTGGATTTAAATCGTAAATCCATCATTTAATTCAAGCAAGTTTTTCTTTTCTTTTAACCTGGTGCTACATTCATTTAATGCTTTTGATGTTATGTCACCAGTAAAAAGGTTTTCTTGAAAGCTTGTTTATTGACTTTGTTTTAGTAATTTAAACATAAGAATTGCGTAAAATAAGGCCTCCTGAAGTTAAACCAACTACCTAATCGAAACATTTTTCGGCTGAATTGTTATTATTGCTATTGAAATCGTCGTTTAAACAATACCGTAGCTTAATTCGTAATAATGTAGATGAGACAGGGATTCTCCAGTTACGGTTAAAAATTAAACAAACGAATTTACGCTGTAATTTTTTTTTTTTTTCAACTTGCTGTTAGCATAAACTTACTGTGAACTAAAGACTGTGGGGCATCGATACGATATAAGTGATTTGTACTATCACATATCAAAGAGATGACACACTAATCTATGGTACAATCCAGTGGTCCGCAGCAACAAGATAGTGCAAACCAACAAAGTCTAACTCATCTGTCCAAGACACCACAACTGATCTATGTCATATTTGTCCACCGTTCTGAAGATAAAAATTGCTATAATCACTTGGTTACAACTATATCAGCCTTAGAGATACGGTTCAACCAAATCCAAAAAGTATGAATGATATCGGTATATCCACCTTCTTGGAATTGGTGAGCATCTTAATTTATAAAATTGAGATCTTTGCAATTGCAAAGGATTGATTGTTGTATTGTAATGTACAAAACAATTTGCGCGTTGCATTGTATGGATTTTATCAGTGATAATGCCGCAAACCCTAAAGTAATGTGAAGTAGGCCTAATGTAAAAAGAAACCTGGGCTCGTTTCTTGCCTATAGCGTCCTGGGAAAAAATGACAGTCGGAAGGTAAAATACCTGTTAATGACTAATTTCATACATATGTATGACCAATGACCATTGATTAATCCTTATATTTGTGCTATAACTTATTTGTGAAGATTAACTATCACATGTTTTAATATTGTTATAATGAGTAAATAAATAGTTGTTGAAATGTACTGAAATTGACTATTCTCTTATTTTTGACTTTGATAATTGACAATTTAATATTGGTGCCGAAACTAAAAAAAGAACCATGTCTTACAGAAAAAGTAATAGAGAAGTTAAACCTCCAAAAAGGTATACCCCTGATCAGAATGAAAATCATGATACAGACAAATTATCAAAGAATGTTTCTGAGAATGGAAACAATGACACTCAAGGAGTAGCATTGAGACAACCCAGCATTACTTCTAGTAGTTCAAGGAAAACAAAAAGTAAATCAGCAACATCAAGCAGCAGGAGACAAATGGAAATAGAACTTGAAAAGTTGGAGGAAATACAAAAACTGGAACGAGAAAATGAAGAAAAGGAGCTGGAAAGACAAAGACTGATGGAGGAGAAGGAAATGGAGCGACAACGGATGGAGAAGGAAATGGAGCGACAACGGATGGAGAAGGAAATGGAGCGACAACGGCTGAGAGACGAGAGGGAACTAGAGCGACGTAAACAAATGCTGGAAATAAGGGCTTCTATGAAATCACTATCGGCAAATGGTAGTCAAGTCTGCGGATCTGAGGTAAGCATAAGTCAAAGCTTAATATCTCAGAGAGAGAAGAGAGAATCTGAGAGTAAAGTCGTAAAGTGGCTGAATGATAATGAACCGACAGTTCATCAGTGTTCATCAACCGCTATGACCACGGCTGCACAATTACTAGCAGATTCAGTCAAAAAAGTTATTCAACCAACCTCTCTTTGCCGCCAACAACTACCAAACTTTAGTGGTAGACCAGATGAGTGGCCAATGTTCTTTTCTGCATTTGAAAATACAATAAAATTGTATTCTGATGATGACAATCTAGCTAGACTTAGAAACTGTCTTGAAGGCGAAGCCTTCAAAATGGTGAAACCTCTTTTTGTTTCCAGTAAAAACTTGCATGCCATAATTAAAACGTTACAGATGCGTTTCGGTAAGCCCGAGTTTATCATTGAGTCTATGATGAACCAAACTAGAATGCTAGCCCCTGTAACTGAAGATGATATTGTTGGCCTCATTGAGTTTTCTACAACCATTCTTAACTTTACCTCGACAGCTGAGTCTCTTCATATGGAGTACTACATGACAAACCCCCAACTACTCAGTGAACTGTTAGGAAAATTGCCTTATCAAATGAAGTACCATTGGGCTCAACATGTGAGCAGTATGTGTTTAACTAGACCTAGCCTAAGTGATTTTTCAGATTGGTTAGAGAGACAATGTTCTATCATGAGTATCTATTTTCATCCAAACGAGGACGTCCCGACTAGAAAGAAAAATGACTTCAAACCTGTGTTGACCAACTCTTCAAAAGCAGCAGTTCCCGCAGTTGGCCCACTTACCTGCGTGTTCTGTGGTGGTAAGCACGATAATGACAAATGCTCTATACTTCGGAAAGCTGATATTTCCGAAAGGTGGAAAATGGTAGGTGAGAAAAAGCTATGCTTTTCTTGTTTCAAACGACATCAACTTAACGTAACGGTTGTAAGCTGTACCATCACCGTCTCTTACATAACTCCAATCTTGAAAGACCTCCAATGAAAAGAAATGAGGGAGAGTTAAAATCTAGAGATGAAGTAATCGGTAATCATTTTGAGAATAACATATCAAACCGTGTTTTGCTTCGTGTTTGTCCTGTCACGTTGTACGGTCCCAAGTCCCAGGTAGATACTTATGCCCTTTTAGACGACGGCTCGACTGTATCACTTCTGGATTCATCAATTGCCGATGAACTTGGTATCCAGGGTGAGATTCTTCCTTTGACAACATGTTGGTCTAACAACACAAGACACTTTGAATCTCAATCAAAGAGAATAGATTTAAAAATAAAAGGATTTTATGAGGATGAAATCTTTACATTGAAAGGGGTCAGAACTCAGTCCACTTTAGAGTTACCACACCAACAAATAGACAGTGTCAAATTGAGGAAAAACTGGCCACACTTAGACTCTATCAACCAACCTCTTCCAATAGCGAGTGTCAGGCCCACTCTCTTGATAGGCCAAGACAACTGTAATCTTATTCTAACCCGTAAGATTATTGAAGGTCCTACTAACGCCCCAGTACTGTCATGGTGCCTTCTTGGTTGGACTCTACATGGGAAGTGTGCACAATTCAGAGATCGTGTGGATGAGAATTTTACCCTACTCTCATATGAAGAATCTTCGCTTCATGACATGGTAAAGAAATCCTTTGAATTAGAGAAATATGGAGAAACAAGATCAAACAACCTGAAATTGTCCATAGAAGAAGAACGTGGAGTATCGATCCTTGAGGATACCATAAAGAAAACAGGAGATCATTACGAAGTTGGTCTTTTATGGAAAGATGACGAATTTAATTTTCCTCCAAGCTATGACAATGCTCTTAGAAGATTAAATACTCTTGAAAAGAAAATGGAAAGAAATCTCGAATTTAAAGAAGCTTACACAACCAAGATTGACGAATACATGGAAAAAGGTTATATTAGAAAACTCAGCCCTGAAAAAGCTGCTATCATAACAGGTCGAACATACTATCTACCCCACTTTGGAGTATCGAACCCGAACAAACCTAACAAAATAAGATTGGTTTTCGATGCTGCTGCTAAATCTCACGGAGTCTCGTTCAATGATGCACTACTCAGCGGCCCTGACTATTTGAATCCATTGCCATCTGTGCTGTTGAAATTCCGGTTGGGGAAATTTGCCATCGTGGGAGATATAAGGGAGATGTTTCACCAAGTAAATATAAGACATGAAGATGTTGACTCACAAAGATTTCTGTGGCGAAAAGACAAAACCAAACCCCCAGATACCTACATAATGAAAGCGATGACCTTCGGAGCAACATGTTCACCAAGCTCTGCACTGTTTGTTGTAAACCACAATGCAAGAAAGTTTCAATCTTTGTATCCTGAAGCTAGTAATTCCATACTGACTAAAGAATATATGGACGACCTGCTAGATTCAACCGACACAGAAGAGGAAGCTAAACGACGTGTTCAAGAAATAATTGAGATACATAGAGCTGGAGGATTCCAAATTTGTAACTGGATGTCTAATTCAAAACAAGTACTTTCGAAAATTCCTGAAAACCTGAAAGCCAGCCAAGCCAAACATTTGATGCCCGATACTCGACTTCCTACAGAACGAGTACTTGGATTATGGTGGGACGCTGAATCTGACTGCTTTGTGTTTCATCGCAATGTCGAAAAACTTGAATTTCTCGAATCCGAGTATCCGACGAAACGAGAGATTCTTAAAGCAGCTATGTCAATTTTTGATCCTCTAGGTCTCATTGCCCCTACCACAGTTAAAGGGAGACTACTGGTTCAAGATATATGGAGAACAAAACTAGGTTGGGATGATGTTGTGACACCTGAACTTAGTCTGAAGTGGAAAGCTTGGATGGATGAGGTCAAAAGTCTTCGAACACTGAAAATACAAAGGTGCTACTTCAACACACGAGTCAGTGACTCAGTTGAACTTCACATATTTGTTGACGCAAGTGAAGAAGCTTTTGCTGCAACTGCATATCTGCGTCAGGAGAACAAAGACACTTACGAAACGACATTGATCATGTCACGTGCCAAAGTGGCACCCATCAAGAACCTGACTATACCTAGACTGGAACTCCAAGCTGCCGTTTTAGGGTGTAGAGTAGCTTCTGCTGCCGAGCAAGATTTGGGCGTTTCAATCCAAAAGAAAACGTATTGGTCTGATTCTCAAACAGTCCTACACTGGATTAAGTCAGATCCAAAAAACTATAAACAGTTTGTCTATAATAGAATTGGAGAAATCCAAGAACTTTCTTCGGCAGAAGACTGGAAATGGGTCCCGACAAAATTGAACCCTGCCGACTATGCGACTAGAAGCATGAAAAGGTTCAATTCTGACATTCAAAACACATGGCTCCATGGTCCCCAATTTCTATCTTAAAACTGTGAACACTGGCCCGCACAACCACCGAACCTACAAGTAAAAGAAGACCATGAAGCGAAACGCCAGTTTACCGGCTTACATGCAGATGTCGAAGCAAAACTAATTGACATTTCAAAGTTTTCATCATGGGAGAAACCGACTAGAATTGTTGCTTGGATTTTGAGATATGTCAATAACTTAAAATCGAGGTGCAAATCAAACGACAAAACTCAACTTCGATTTGGACCAATAGACTACAACAGCATCGTTGAGCTGGAACCTAAAGGACTGAAAGCTGCCGAAGAAATTCTTTTAAAATCTGCACAGGATGAAACCTTTGGTGAAGAAAGGAAACTTTTGATGAGAAAGAAGTCTATTCCGAAGTCAAGCCGCATTTATTCATTCTCTCCATATTTGGATTGTAACAACATTTTAAGAATGTCATCAAGAACCTCAAACTCACCCGAACTGACAGAAGATCAGAAAAATCTTATAATATTGGATGGCCGACACTTTACTTCGAGATTGATAGGACAAATGTATCATAACGAATGTTTCCATCAAGGTCTCGAGACAGTTGGGTGCAAGATAAGAGAAAAATTCTGGATAACAAATCTACGACCACTTCTAAAGAAAATTAAGAAAGAATGCATGAGGTGCAGATTGAATTGTGCGAAGCCTGTTCCCCCTCAAATGGCCCCTCTACCAGCATTCAGAGTAACAAGAACTAGCCACCCGTTCTTCTACACTGGAGTAGATTACTTCGGACCGATAGAAGTAACTGTAGGGAGGAGACACGAGAAACGTTGGGGAGTTTTGTTCACATGTTTGACAACTAGAGCTGTCCACTTGGAAGTTGCACATTCTTTGAACACAGAAAGTTGTATCATGGCAATCCAACGTTTCATTAGCCGAAGACCCTGTCCATCGGAGATGTTCTCGGACAATGGGACAAACTTTGTTGGCAGTGACAAAGAGCTCAGGAATGCTACTAAGTGTTTAAACAATGTCCACATTCAGAGGATCATATCCAGACAAGGTATCAAATGGAACTTTATTCCTCCTCGAGCCCCACATATGGGCGGATGCTGGGAGAGACTCATCAGATCAGTTAAAACCGCATTAAAATTTGTCATGCATTCCCAGTATCCTAAGGATGAAGAACTTCGAACCTTTCTTGTTCGAATAGAATTTATCCTCAATTCAAGACCACTGACTAATGTACCAATTGACCCACTCGATCCGGACCCGCTCACTCCAAACCATTTTCTTAGAGAAGCCTTCAAAATAGATATCAATGAAGACAAACTTTGCAGAAGGCAGCTAACTCGAGTTAAGACCCTTTTGGACAACTTTTGGAAAAGGTGGATTCACGAGTATTTACCCTGCTTGACAAGGAGGTGCAAATGGCATAAAAGAACTGTTCCGCCTGAAGTCGACGACTTGGCAATAATCATAGACGAAGACAATGCACGTAACACCTGGCCCCTTGGAAGAATATCTGCCCTATACCCCGGTCGAGATGGACAAGTAAGAGTTGTTGACATCACAACACCAAAGGGTACTTTTCGGCGTCCGATGACAAAAATTGCCATTCTACCTGAGGAGGGGAAAGATGTTAATGACTAATTTCATACATATGTATGACCAATGACCATTGATTAATCCTTATATTTGTGCTATAACTTATTTGTGAAGATTAACTATCACATGTTTTAATATTGTTATAATGAGTAAATAAATAGTTGTTGAAATGTACTGAAATTGACTATTCTCTTATTTTTGACTTTGATAATTGACAAATTAATAATACCCTTGTTTTAGAGTTTTAAAACCCATCCTATGACTTTGAAAATTCGAACAATGTAAAGTAAACGTCAGAGCTTCATCGAACTTAGAGGTAAATGTATATAGAATTCATTTGTAGGATTCCCAGATTTTTACTTACCGGTAACCCAAAATATTTGTTAATTATGTGAATTAACTAAAAAAAAAAATAGTTTACGCCAAAAAATTTTTAAAGCAAGCTTGTTTTCAACGCTCAACCATACGGATATTATTTAAATCAATTAACATTTAATTCGGATGATGCAGCGGCCGAGTACGAGTACGGCACTTTCAGACTGCCACCAATATTATAGCATAGGTTTAGGGTGGTAATACTTTGGACCCTTTGAAAGAATGAAAAACATTATGTGTCCTGTGAATTAGTCGTCAGTGACACACACTGTGTGAGTCACCGGAGTTCCACCCCCTTGTAAGCGAAAGATTTTACAATTTTATATTAATTTATTTAAATAATATGCGTTAATGGTTGGGCATTATGAATATTCCAATTACTATGACATTTACGAATCAATTTTTTTTCTAGTGTTTGCCGATTTTTAGAAAAAAAGTTTATTTACCTAATTAACAACAACTTTTTTTGGGTAAAGAAATTTTGAAAACTTGCAAATTAATTTATTATTTGTCCATATTGTATGAAAGTTTGATGAAGTTCTGACGTTTAGTCTACATTGTGCGAATTTTCATCATAAGATGGGTTTTGGAACTGAAAATACAAGGGTTTTTTACCTTCCGGATGTCATAAAATTTTATAAACGAGCTAAAAAATATTTTGTTTTCACAGGAATACGTAGAATAAAACTACGAAAATTTGGATATATTCCGTGTTTTTCTAAGTAGTTTGTTTACTTTTCTGTTGAGCTGCAAACTCGTGTCCAAACGTTTCCCCCGGACAGTAGGTACACACATCGTGGGGAGGGGGGCGGGGGGGGGGGCTCTGTCTCAAGCTCGGTCAGTATCAGTATTATCTCAGTGGACGCGCGTACAGTAGTAGACTACTTTATATTCTGAGTGGCAATACAGTCTGATCACCACTCACTCGACCAAAGAGGTAATTTATTGTATTTTCACTGTTTTGTAGCTAACTTGTCGTAGACTAAATTAAAACACAGTTGAACATCGGTCTATTTTGTTGTTATTTATTGTAGTTCTTGTTCTTAGGTCTGTCTAAGCCTGTTTATTTTTGGCTTATTACTATTATTGTTATTGTAATGTCTGTTATCACTGATAATAACTTATTTGTTTTCGCTTCATTTTGTTTGAATTAGCAATCCCTTAGTCAGAATTTAAGCCGCTGCCATCTTGTTGATTGCATAATAAAAAAAACAGAAAAAGTTGTTGAATGTTGATTCTATTCGATTTTTAAGTGTAGTTTTATTTCACATGGAAAACGTTACAAACCGAAATACGATACAATTATCAATACGATACATTTTACAACACAAAAGTATGTTAATCACAGATTTGTATTAGAGTAATATTGCGCTAACATGTTATAATATGTATATGCGTAGTTAGTTTGGGTTAACATTCATTATATAAAAGATTTACGATTTTAAAATATCATGTTTACAATGGAATCTATAAATTAGTTGATGTGGTCGTTCGCCTTAAGCATTAAAAACACTGATTCGTCACACTAATATGTTATTAGAAGTTTTCGGAATGTAATTTAGTGAACGAAAATATTGTTTTGGCTGGTGAATCAGCTTTTAATTTCTTTAGTAATAAAACTCATTGTTAACACCAGCGAGCACATAAAACACGAAATAACAATATTCTTCAGGATTCGACCATAGATTAGTTGTTATTTATTATCTACATTGTTGTCGGTGCCTGGCAACCATTTAGATCAAAATTCAATTATTTATAAGAATAGCGATACTTTTATCAGTTAACGGTACTCATTTTACCTTCTGTTTATTTACAGCATATAACATATGTTTATTATTATTTTTTATTTTTTTTTTTGTGGAAATAGCTTTCGTAATTTAGATTGATTCAATATGCAAGCTTAAATTTGGCATCGTTGCGAGCTATAATTAAAATGGACGACATTTAATTTCGTACAGCAGGATTGCTGTACATCAGGATAGTGTAGTGTAGAGTCCTTGTGACTTTTGTATAGCATGGATCATCAACAGATTACACCGACGAAAGAAATGGATTATTAATTCTCAGTAATAAGTCCTCCGCAGTAAAGAAGTGCGTGCATGTAATTGATTGAATTTCTCTTTTAGAAATAAAAATAGATTGAAAAAATTACCACCCTGCTGTACTTGCTAGACATATTCCTTTGCCAACAACAAATGGCATATCAATTAAGTTAACAGTAAATGAAATATTAAAATTATCAAATATTTTATGTCGGTTTGTCACTGAAGGGTGTCAAAACAGCATGTTCAATAGCAGTAACTTAGCCACTATTTGAATCCTGTCATAATAGTAATTACTTTGATCTGGTTTTGCAGAGACGAAATTGTTCGATATTAGAATAGTTTTCAATTTGAATAGTATTGTGTACATATGTAAACAACTAGTTACTTGGTAACATCAGGGTAATCGTAGTTGCCAATTAAATTCGCAATTACGATTGTAAACTAAAAGATTTTTAGTAATGAATTAGAACCTGCCCTGTGGACGAAAACTCGACCAAAAGTATGCATTGTGCAAACTTTGCTATTTTCTCCCCACGCTGTAAATAAAACATGCGATTGGAATTTCTTTGCTTATTTTCTGAGCCTATTTTAATTTATAAGGGGATTCTGCACATCTACAGGCAAATGTCTTTTTAACAGTATGTGTAGATTTTCCCTGCCATGCACAGGAGCTGAGAAAAAGGTTTTCAATAAACATGCTTGTTTAATATATAAGATTTTTAGAAGATTTTTTTTTTTTTTAAGAGGTTGGCGGCCTCTTTTAACCTTGCATTTGCCCGTCCACATAGACTAAGCGCCCGTGCGTGGATCGTTTGCAGCAAAGCAAGGAGTGAGCCGGTACAGTACAAAGGTGAACTGTACTGATAAAATGTTATCGGCAGTGACCAGGATCCGAACCCACGACATCGCTGCCTTGGGCCCGAAGTCCGCGACGCTACCGACTGAGCCACCGACTCACTAAAGATTAAAGAAAGGGATAGTAAACTTTTCAGACACATAGGAAAATTTAATGGGAAATGTTAATTACCTTTCATTTAACACAACCTGCATTTAAATCGGTCCAATTGAACTCCAGATCTCACTCTTAATAGACTTAAAGTTTTACCCCAAGTAAAATTGTCAATGGAGATTTTAATTTCCCTTTTCATAACATTAAATCAAGTAATATCTGAAATTGAGAAAAAAAGGGCAAATATACAGACGATTATACTTTTCATTCGGTACCAACCGCGTGTAAATTGGTCCAGTAGTATGGTCAGGGTGGCTGTCGTAAGCTTAAAAATCAGCCCCATGTTAAATTTCCACAAGAAAAGTTTAATTTCCATTTTTGACCCAATTAACATTAGTTTTTATTTTCTGTTATATTTTGTTGTTATTTTGTCCCCAACATGGCAACCCATAAGATCCATGTTACTTATTTTAAATTTTAAATTCATTTTTGTGCTAGAATGGTCGGGCTAGCTGTCATAAGTTTTGCAAAAGTTTTTTAGTAAGGTATATAAGATTAATTTAAGACTTGGTACAGTAATCTTATTTATTATATGTGAACTATATAAACTATTATTTTTACAGTTCTTCAAGTTACCTCATGTGGCGAAATCAGCATAAATATGTTTTTATTAGGCTACTTATTCAGATTAATGTTTAACAATCTCCAAGTTTCGATATATGTGAGGCAATACACATGCACTTTCAAGAAAATATACTTATACTTTCCGTGTCATTGATTTACCGCATCGCATGTACTATACTAATATACCATACCCACAAGTGTGCTCAGCTGTTTTTAACGTTTCTTGATAACCGCACGATTATTGATTACTTTTAACGAATTCGAATTACTTTCGTCCCAACCTTAGCCTCTGACATCGAGAGGCGAAAATCAGCTGTTGATTTATTTAATTGAATAAAACAAACTCTCAATATGTTCGGTAGGTCTCAAACCCAGATTAGTGATAATATTACTAGTCGTGAGTTAGAAGATGATGTCTTCAGCTTATGTAAATAACATTTAAACCTGGGACCATATTATGATGACTTGAAATATTGTTGTCGGTTGCTTGGCGAATCAAGTACAACTGAGCCCAGTATCGAAGCATCGAAGACCTACAGAATTTTTTAGGAAAAAACTGGCGACCTTTTTATTACTATTCAAGCCACCCAACTGATTAGATTGTTATAACCACCCAACATCTGAAGCCTTCAAAACCTCATTACCAATTCTCAGTGGGTCGTGCGGTATACTACAGAGCTAACCTCTTCGCCGGAACAGCCAGAAAACTTCCACCCAACAATAAACCATGTTCTTAGAATAGTTCGGGAAACTTGAGTCATCAGTTTGCACGTACATGTGACTTCGCAGTGTCCGCAGTTGCCCAAGCGCTAAGCTATAGTGGCCAGCCTTACCTTCTGTCATGCGCGCTGCTGTAGTTGTCTCGGTCAAGTTGTTTCACAAGCGCTAGGCCAGCCTTACCTTCTGTCATGCGCGCTGCTGTAGTTGTCTTGGTCAAGTTGTTTCACAAGCGCAGGCCCCGGATACGTAACTGTCGGATGAATTATTAAGGAAACGACATCAGGCCGAATTATCATAAGATTGAGGTCCTTATTCCGGTTGCTTTCACATTTTACAAGCCGTAGTTTTCACTCGCTAAATTACCATTGGGTGCCGCGCCACGCCGACGGTTGAATTTCATCTTGAGTTATACAAGGTGCGATTAAGTAAATTGTAATAATAAGGTCCTAAACATTTTTTGCAATGTACCATTAAAAACGTTGAAATGTATCTTCTTGCTTGTTTTACAAATCCAAACATGGGTGTTTTGAAAATTGAAAGTTGCCGGTTCGGTCCATAGAAAAGCTACTTGTTTTTGTCTTTTAATGCTTCGAAACTGGGCCAAGTTGTCCTTGATCATTAGGTTTTAATAAACGGCAAACAGCCTTGGCTAGGAATCAACTAGTCCAAGTCAGCAACAAAGCTACACAGACATTTCACTCCCTTCTAGACTCACCTGTCTTACATACCTGGTTTAAAATTCACCCAGTAGGTGAGGAGTTAGAATCAGGATTCTAACTGACAATAATAATCAAAAATAATTGTTGGAATTCACGTACTTCATGTATTTTTTTTTTATTATTACTTTTTTAAAGGTTAAATGTAATAAAGACCATGAGGTCCTAAGTTCGCCTCAATAAAGAAGGATTTTCATTAATTCATCGTCAGGCTAAAATAAATTACCCTGTCTAGAAGAATCAGCTGATCCTAGTCAGCAACAATGCAATGACATCATTCGTTCGACAGACCTTCACAATACAATAGACCCTGGTGTTTTGGTGTTGTATAAATCTAATACATTGTATCAAAAATAATTAAAAATGTATTAGGTAGTGTATGTTAAACTTCTATTTTGGAATGTTGTCTGTATATTTGGACAGATTTTAATCAAACGTTTACCGTCCTCAATAGATTTTTGGACTTGGAGAAGGAGTAAACTTCTCAACAAATCAGGGATTTTTTTCTCACGGTTAGACCAAGGCACACAACAGCCGTACCTTTGTTTGTCCGTTCTCGCTAAAAGTGTTTGGATATAATATTGACAGACAGGCTGTCATAACGTCACAGCCTGGCCAAGGTCTGTAACTGCTAATATTGTCTGTCATCGGTCATCTATAGTCATATGTCGAGGCTATGCTATACAGTATATCATTCCTTATACTCCATTAGAGAGAAGTTGCGTAGCTATACATCAGCTATAGAATGTTATTGAAATTTTGAATAGCTTTAAAACATGAAAAAAAAATTATAAATTACAGGTATTAGGTAGCATAGTTTGGTTATTGATCTTGATTTCGCATCGACAACTATTAATTGATGAATTCCAAGACGAGTGGTTCA